CATATTTCAGGGCAGCAGAGCAGCAGAGAGCAAAGCGAGGAGCGACCTGTGAGGTGTGTTTGTCCCAATTTTCAGGCTAACTCTCAACACTCCCAGCTGCAGCTTTAAAGTGGACGAGCTTTTAAATCCTTCTTTTTCTCCTTTCAATCATTCAGTTGGGGTCTATAAAAAGTGGAACTGCAATGCTTTGGTCTCAATTCCACCTTATTGTAACTCCACAAGCCCCTCTTCCAGCCCTTTTCTGAGGTGTGTCTGAGAGCGACTCGTTTTCTCTTTAAATTCAAATGAACGGTTTCACACCCCGCCCCCTCCATTCAGCCATTTTTGTAGTTTGATAGCAGAGATACGACTATCTAGCGGCGCAGAAACTTTTTTTTATCTACAAATTAAATAAAAGATGTCAACAAGGGAAGACTTGTCCATCCAGCCTTACATGTTGGAGCCAGAGGAGAAGGGAGACAGCAAACCTGCAGGACTGCTGATTCATGAAATTAGTTGTAAGTCCATCATCTTGTTTAGCAGCTCTGCAGCAAATACTGTGATGCAATAGTTCAGATAACTAAACAGGTTGGAAAAGTTGAGTGGAGCATGGACACGTCAGGCTGTTTTACTGACATATACATAAAAAACTGTTGCTTCAAAACAACAACCCTCCAAAACACGTAAAACTATTAGAAAACTGAGCTCATTACACGCACAAACGAGGAGAAATGACTTGAAACTAGGCTTCATTCAGCGAGGCTGAAGGCAGCTTGATGTGAGGTCAGCGGGTTGATAAATAGACTCGTCGATATGAGCGGGAGTGAGAAATCAATGAACGTCTTGAAGGAAAGAGAAGAAGAGCCAAGAGAAAAAAAAAACAAGCCGTGTGTGCAGAGAGCGCACCGGTACCTCATCAGTCAGGTGGTAGATTCTCCTCAACATACACTGACGAGCAGCTTCCACCTCCTGGAAAAGAACAAGGAGAGTTAACGTCACGCTCTCCACAGCTGATGGTCGTAATAAGAGCTGCGCTGCCTCATAACTTCTGCTAAACCTTCTCTAACTAGAACTTGTACAATATTACCCTTCCCAACYGACATCTTTCATCTGGTGTGGTGTCAGCTCATTCCTGAGCTGAACTTCAGCTGCTGGAAGGAAAAGACTTAGGCCCCGCCCACCTGGACTCAGAGCAGGTGTTGGGWGACAGAAGCTATTATCACTTCCTTCTTTCATGAACGACTGGTCGTTTCCTCCCAGGAGGCGTCAGAATCTACAACTGTGTATYAATCAGGGCTCTGCAACCTTTACGATCAAAASAGCCATTTCTGCTCCTTGTCTCACTAATAAAATGTGTTCTGAGCCYCAAAACAAGCCACAACTGTGATTAACTGGTGGTCTGTGGACCTTTTTGAGGCCTTTTCGGGAATCTTCACGGCCAGTGGAGGTGGCATTATAAAACCAAGCAATATATTGTGAACTTTATTACTTATTATTATTTTTATACATAAGGACAAATGGAATGACCTTATTCATAAACAAGACAAATACTGTATATAGTTTAACCAAATTTCATAAAAACTAGTACAACTGAACTATTCAGGCATATTTTTTTTCTAAATCTTTAAAATATGTAGCCTTCAGATTCTTTAAAGATAACTGATGGATTTGAGAGAAAAGATCATAGAAAGAAGTTGGATTATTTAAGTAAACAACAGGCTATCATGAGCTAACATGTTTTACTTTTGGTATCAGCAATATTGATCACATATTTGCACACAAATTGATTTCTTTTGTGAGTATGAAAGTTTATTCTGTTATGTTTGGTCACATATTCAAAGAGCCACAGGTTGCAGACCCCTGGTATAAAACATGATCCTAAAAACACCAAATCTCAGCTACCACACCAAATTTTGCCCAGGCTCTGTAAAAAYTGAGTAACAGCCATGTTTGTGTTGGGTAACGTCAGTAAGCTGTGGCGGCCWTCTTGAATTGGATTGAATCCAACAGGTAAAGATGTACATTTAATGATTATTTTCTGAATGGTTCATTAAAATCCAGCCAGGGCTTCATCAGATGTTTTGCCAACACGGTAGACAAATGAACAAACGCAGGCACAAAGTAACTAAGTTCTCCATCTCCACCTTCTGATGCTCYTCTGGGCTGTGGGGCGAGTCCAGAACACCTCAAAGGAGGCGTCCCAATCAGATGAARCCCCTCKAKWGACTCCTTTTCATGCAGACAAGCAGCGGCTCTAATCAGAGTTCCTCAGATCAGCCTCCTCAATTATCCCCCCAATAAAGGCTGTTTCTATTCTGTTCTATTCATCCTCTCACCCACCCTAGGAAGGAAACTCAGTCCAGCTGCTTGTATCTGGGGTCTTGTTCCTTCYGTCCTGATCCACGCCTCATGGTGAGGYTTGGAACGTAGACAGACCAGTAAASCAAAAGCTTTGCTGTTTGACTCGACCGAAGCAACGCCCTCATTCCTTTTACTGGCATGAAATAATAATTAGATTAAACATGAACCATTAAATGACCAAAAAAAAAAAAAAACCCACGAAAACAATAACAAAACAAACAACAAAAAATTTAAGTATAGTCATACCTAATAAACAGAAAGCAAATAAAACGAGGCAAACACATTCTGTGCTATAGTTGTTAGAAGAGTCAGGTAAAGGGTGTACACCTTTACAGCTAGGATAAGTGAGGGGAGCACCACTCATGGGGTAGCATCGAATGTCAGACATAACATGATACAAAATCGGTGACCAGATCCTTAAAAATAAAGGTTCAGAGCCTTTGAGAGACTCGCCCTCATTCCTGAAGACGAGACCCCAACCCGTAAATCCATCTCCCGCTCCATCCTACCGACACTCGTGAACAAGACGCCCAGATACTTAACCTCCTCCATTTGAAGACTTTTTATATTTACTTACATGTATTTTAATAATAGTGAAATTTGGGAAGTTATCGCTCCTGTGAAAAGACGTGTGGATAAACGTCTCATCTAGCATCATGTGAAGGCATGTGTGCACTGAGGCGGTAACTACTCTGTATTTGTAAATGAATCTGTTTTCAGCAGCACTCATACATCTGAAGTACTGACAGAGAGATATTTTTCTACCTTGATAATAAACCTACCTTCATCTAATTTAAAAACAGTTTGGATACACGACACCGAAGAGGAGCAGGTCAGGATTGTTGTTTGAACTCATAAAAACTTTTCTCCTGCGACTTTTTTATTTGAAACAGGAAATAAAGTGACTGAGCTCCAACTACAACCTCACCGTAAAAAGGATTTTTAACATTTACAGCATACACTTGTGCAGTCGTACCTGTGCTGCAGCGTCCTGAGAGAAGACGAAGGCGTTGACGTGAGCCAGGGCCACCACGTATAAGACGGGACACCAGGAGGACCTCAGGGTCCCCGTCACTAAAGAGCGGAGGTAAAGCTGCAGCAGGGGCAGGGAGTCCTCCGGCGGGGAGGTGAACCGCTCGATGGGGACGGACAGCTTCACGTGAAGAGACAGACGGCAGGTTAGAGACGAGTCACGACTCGTTTCAAACAACTTTATTATTAATTCATCACCTGTTCCAGAGAGACCCCCAGGGACCTGAGCAGACCCACGTGTTCTCCAAACACAGCCAGCCTCATGGAGGGGCTGTACCTCCTCTGCAGGGGCAGCAGCACCAGACAGCCGAAGAGCTGGTCTCCAAAAGACACGGCCTCGTACTGCGTCAGAAGGGCCGTGTACAAGTCCTGGAAGGAGGCGAGGCCTGGAGGGGGCACGTCCAGGTCTAACAAGTCCAGCTTGGACTCCCTGGAATAAATTATTTTAAAAATGCATTGGTTTTTAGGAGTCATGAGATTTTAAGATTAGATGGAAGAATGTTGTCTGTGGTCTCAGACCTGGTCAGCAGTCTGAAGAGTCCCCAGGTCAGTTTCTGAACTGGTTTCTCCAGGAACAGGTTACTGGAACACAGGAACACACAGAAGAGGCGGGCTAGCTTAGCCACAGGTGGGATGACCTGAAAAACAAACGTTACCATTCTCAAAACCCCCTGCAGATCAGCAATAATCACAACAGAACAAACACATTTATTTACTGTGAGAACGTTTATCCAACATTCACAATATTCAGATCTTTTTCTTCTTCTGTAAGTTTCATTTATCAAAACGTTCAGCTCCAGCTCTGACCTTTGCTCTTCAGCATTGTATACTTCTTTAGCTTCGTAGCTTTTTATGCATTTTTTTTCTCATTGAAGAAGCTGTTTTCAAAATCCCTAAAACCCTTCAAAACATTTATAAACCTTTACTGAACCATTTCATTTTGTTCTGCTTTCTTTTAAACATCTGTGCTAATTTCAGCTTTTTGTTGATTCTATTTTTTTCTGCTTTTTTACCTATTATGACATTTTCTGCTTTTTTTGTTAATTTAAACTTGTTTGTGCTTCTTTAAGCTTTTTATGCTAATTTAAGCTATTAATGCTTCTTCCAGCTGCTTTATGCTAATTTTAGCTGTTTGTTTTTAGCTAATTTCAGCTAATTTGTGTTTTTTTCCAGCTTAATTTACAATTTTGTTATATTTCAGCATCTTACTGCTGAATTCAGCAAACGTGCTCTTTGTTTCTTTGTGCTAATTTCAGCTACTTTTTAAAGCTATTTAGACTTGATTTCAGCTTGTATAACTATTATAAAACAAATTGCAAGAACTTCTTTTTTTGTTTAGTGCTAATTTAATTTTTTCATTTTTCCCATCTGTTAATCTTAACTTCTTTAATCTACTTTTAGCTTCCTTTTGCTGATTTTAGCTAATTTATTTGCTCTTTTCAGATTTTTTAACCCCTTTAGCTATCTTTGTACTGAATTTTCTCTTTTGTTGTCTTACTTTCAGCAAAAATCAGCTGCTCAAATTTAACTCACATTAACAGTTTTTCTATTAAACTTTTTCAGGTTTTTCAGCAGTTTTCAGCAAATTCTCTAATTAATATTACTGTGGATTAATCTATAGATTATTTAGCTAAAACTAAAAGATTTAATCTTTAATCATGACTCAGATCAGGTSTTTTTAACATTTTCATGCTTGTTTGTATTTTTTCTGTTTTGAGGCATATACATGATACATATACAACATTAATACTTGACACGTGTAGATGTCAGTCAATACTAAAGTTTTACTCGTCTCATTTGACGTAAATAGTAACTCTTGTCTTCAGCGTTTTAAAAAATGTACCTTCAGAGCTTCCTCCCTCCACACCTCCAGCAGCAGCAGCCACTGCAGACAGTGCGTCACGGCCTGCAGAGCTCCAGCAGGAAGCTCCTCCACAGCCAGGCCTCCACCTGCAGACACCCCCGTGCGCTCGTACAGGCTGATGAGTGGCAGGAACGGCCAGTCGGAGGGTACCGCAGGACCCARGAGCTCTGGGAGGAGATGGGAGCCGATCCACGGGCTGCGGCCCTGGAAGGCGTCTCGAGACGTGAGCACGGAGGGCTCCAGGTGGGCCAGGTGGGTGAGGAAGCAGCCCCGTATGGAGGGCAGCTGGGCYTAGGCTTCTCTCAGGAGGGCGCCCATTGTCTGGAGCCGGGGAGAGGCGTGGAGGGCCGGGTTCTCCTGCAGCTTCAACTCCTCCAGCTCCACGGCCTCMGGGCCTCCGCTGTGTCCCTCCCTGCAAACCACACCAACAGTAGCAGGTTCATTTCTGTTTTGATCAACTGATTGACAGTAAGTGATGACAGAGCTGTTCAAACAACTCCTCTAAAACTTAAACCTGCTCTGTTCTGGATATATATTTGGATTCTGATCACTGGATTCTACAGATTGGCTTGGTGGTCTCCGGGTSTTTCTACAAAACAGAATCGGTGGCTATTCATTTCCTGGTTGCCTGATCAKTATGAAGGATTGCCGTTCTATCAGCTCTCAAGACTTTTGCCTTGAGCGAGCTGGTCTCGGTCTGCAAGCAGTTCTGCTGAGGGTCGCGGGCCGGCTGTGGTTCCTGGACTTTGCTGGCCAGATGGAATTGATTTTGGAGAAAACTGATAGCTAGGCGGAATTTGTCCACACTATTTGTCTGATTGGATTTGCCACATTGAGTTGTACCAGCAGATTTGAAGGCAGATGGAAAATTGTTATTGTCTGCCTGGCTCAAAACAGTTTCTTCTGTTCCCAAATAACTGATTACAGAATTTGGCTCTCCCCTACATGGCCTTGAGCTGTTGGACTAAATTCTTCCTGGATGCATATATCGACTGAGGGTCTGCCCCACACCTCCCCCCTCTTACACCCGTCTGTGATCTGGTTCCTGGAGCAAGCTGAGGGCTGCACAGAACGAACAGTTACCATTTATATTCTGAACTGTGGCTGCGCTGGTTTTGGGGACTCGATTCTTCTGGCTCATTTTTCAGATATTCACACAAGTGCATACAACACTCATGGCTTCAGATACACACACCCCTAAACTCACTTACTCCTCTGGCTAATAAATCTGCTTTATGCAGAGGTTTTTTTATAAACACCACAGTGTGTCACATTGTTGATATAATATTATGTTTTCTTTTTTCCTCATCTTCCCTTGTGCAGTTTTTAGTTTTCCTGTTAAAGTTTGCGCCTCCTCATGATGTCTTCATGAAGATGATCCTTGCTCTGTGCAGGGTCAGTGGCTGCATGACCCAGGGCACCTGTTCTCCTATGTTTGTCATGTTCTGTCTTCTTCTGAATGGGTGTTCTGAACTGTAATTTCATTGTACTCTGTACAATGACAATAAAGGTCTATCTTATCTTATCTTAAACCAGCTTGTTTGACAGCTTGAAATTAGTTTTATGAGGAAAAAAGAAAAGAAAAAAACATACAGATGTTTGAACAGGGGTGAAAGATGCGAACAGCTACAACAAATAATCTGTCTTTTAGTGAACCTTAAACTGATACAGTGGGGAAAATAAGTATTTAGTCAGTCACCAATTGTGCAAGTTCTCCCACTTAAAAAGATGAGAGAGGCCTGTAATTGACATCATAGGTAGACCTCAACTATGAGAGACAAAATGTGAAAAAAAAAATTGAGAAAATCATTTTGTCTGACTTTTAAAGAATTTTTTTGCAAATAATGGTGGAAAATAAGTATTTGGTCAATAACAAAAGTTCATTACTCTCAATACTTTGTTGTACACTCACCGGCCACTTTATTAGGTACACCACGCTAGTAACGGGTTGGACC